ACAACACACAGGGGGGATTTAAACCCTGTTTCTGGAAGTGGGGTGGGTGCCAGTAGATTCCTGGGTGCTGAGGAGCCTGTCAGCCTGCAGGAAGAAGCTGTAACAGAGTCTGGTGGAGCTGGCCTGTACACTGCGATATCTTTTCCCAGAGGGTAGGAGGGCAAAGAGTTTATGGGAGGGGTGGGAGGGGTCATCTACTATACTGGAGGCCATGTGTAAGCAGCGTTTGTGAAAGGTGACAGAAATGGAAGGGAGGGAGACTCCAATGATCTTTTCAGCTGTTTCCACAGTTCGTTGCAGGGTCTAGCAGTCTGAAGTGTTGCGATTCCCAAACCAGACAGTGACACAGCTGGTCAAGGTGCTCTCAATGATACCTCTGTAGAGAGTGGTAAGAATGGGCGGGGGAAGGTTTGCCCTCCTCAGTCACCGCAGGAAATAGAGACGCTGCTGTGCTTTCTTGGCTAGGGAGGTGGTACTGAGGGACCGAGTGAGGGCATCTGTAATGTGTACACCAAGAAACTCTGTGCTTCTAACTCTCCACAGGGGAGCCGTTGATGTGCAGTGGGGAGTGATCAGTGTGGGCCCTCCTGAAGTCAATGATTATCTCTCTTGTTTTGTTTACATGAAGAGATAGGTTGTTGTTTTTGCACAAGTCCACTAGTTGCTCCACCTCCTCTCTGTATGGTGACTCATCGTTGTTGCTAATGAGGCCCACCACTGTCGTGTCATCGGCAAACTTGATGATGCAGTTTGAACTGTGCTTGGCAGTACAGTCAGGAGTCATCAGTGTGAACAGCAGCGGGCTGAGCACACAGCCATGGGGAGTTCTGGTGCTCATTGTGATGGTGCTGGAGATTACAGGTTATTACCAATCTGGACTGTCCAAGGTCTCTCAGTCAGAAAGTCCAGAATCCAGTTACAGAGGGGGCTGTTAAAGTTTAGCAAGCTCATTTTTTTCTGTCAGCTTCTGGGTGATGATTGTATTAAATGCTGAACTGAAGTCAATAAACAGCATTCTTACATAAGAGTCTTTCTGTATGCTGGTAGGTACCATCAGAGCACCAACAGGAGCCTCTCAGTTAGAAGACCCATTTCTCTTCTACAGATACTTGAAGGATGACCACAGACTGACTGCAAAAAGTCTCTATCTGAGTGATGCCCATGACTGCAACACATAATCACAACTCACACCTGTCAGAGACATCATGAGGCATGAGCTCTAAACATATCCCTGGCAGCAGAAAGAGTCTCTGAAGCAGACACGGAATAAGAGTGACAGAGTCACAATACAATACCAGTGTCATGTTTATCAAAAGATGTGAGCATGTAGTCATTCTGCCTTCCAGTACAAAGTCATTGGCATTCCTGACAAGCAATTAGACATAAAATAAATGAATGACCAACCAATCTAATTAGTGGATGGAAGAGTGAGTAAGACAGACTCCGGCACAGCGAAATGTCATTACAAGAGGTTTAATCTTGTTTCTTCAAGGCAAGTGATCTCCTACAGCAGGAGAGCAGGCACTGAGGCAGTTAAAACAAAGCGTATGTTCATCACCTGAAGGCGAGGGGTAATTGCTAAGCTACCTGCCTGACGGGTTCTGTCTGTTGGCAGCGCTGGCGTTGACAGAGGTTAACCAGTCTGCAGAACCTTCTCAAGAGAACATTAATGCTCTCCACCAAAAGTCACCTGCACTGTCCTATAGACAGATCAGAGATGAGAATAGATACTTAGGCTGGCATCTGTTCAATGCCAACTCTCCCTTGTCACTTTGAGACATTGTGCACTGAAATGCTAGTTATACCAAAGAGCAGGTTCTGACACAGAACTGTCACTCACATCACACTCCACACGAATCTCAGCCGTATCATTGAGGCTGAATAGTTTTCCAAACTGGAGAGACCACTGTACAATGTTGACCAACACTGATGAGTTCAACAATTCATTTTGCAAAAAACAAAATAATTCCTTGCTCTTATATAGTGCTTTTCTGGTCACTCCACTCAAAGCGCTTTACAGGTAATGGGGATCCCCTCCACCAGGGTGCAGCCCCACCTGGATGATGCTCCAGTCCTCTCCCCACACATCAGCTCTCAGTTGGGAGGAGAGCAGAGTGATGAAGCCAGTTCAGAGACGGGGATTATAAGGAGGCCATGACGCAGGGGTAACACCCCTATTCTTTTCTAGAACAGCCCTGAGATTTTTAATGTGCACAGAGAGTCAGGACTTCGGTTTTATGTCTCATCAGAAGGACGGTGCCAATTTACAGTACAGTGTCCTTGTCGCCATACTGGGGCATTAGGACCCACAGAGACCACGAGGTGAGCGCCCCCTGCTGACCCCACTAACACCTCTTCCAGCAGCTACCTTAGGTTTACCCAAGAGTCTCCCATCCAGGCACTGTTCATCCATATGTGATATGGCAAAAAGGGGGAAGCATCTATTTGAGCAAGTCTGAGCAAGAGGAGAAGAAATGTAAAGACACAAAAATATCACACCTGAGTCTCCTAGAAGGAAACGTTTAAGGTGTGCACGCAGCCTCCAGGTGCAATCTCCAAGAGCACCCAGCCTTCTCAGCCAACACAAGCAATGGCCTCTTGCACTGAGACCTGTCACACGTCTTGCACAATCACCCCTCCCTCCAGACTACTGGACTCAGGCCACTGCATCACTGTACAGCATACAGTGTGTGCAGCAGATCCTGGGTCTGATGCCCCTTTCGTCTGGTGTCCACACAAACAGCAAGCAGGCCACTGTACCACAATCCAGCCTCAGGATGAGATTTCCCTGAGAGCTCACCATAGCCGTGTGAAAAGGTGAAAAGGTATGCAATTCGTCTAGGACTTTTCCACAGCAGCAAATAAGAGAGAGTTCTAGTAAACTTTAGGATCACAGATAGACTCATATTCATCTCATTACTGAAATTTGTTATTTTCAAATGAAGGGAAGAAATAAATGCATGCATTTTAAGGCTTAGATATTTGCCAAATGGCTTTTATGGCTTTATGGCTTTTATGATAGGTGATTTTGTAATTAATGGGGTTGTTTGCTGAGAATTAAACACTGCCACATGGCCATCATGGCTGACACAGACGGCACACATACAATAAATCTTGACTGTGCCTTTAAAACTATGTTCAAAATGTATCAAAATACAAGATGCTGAGTGGCAGTGTGCAAAAAGATAAACACTACCAAGCCATGCATATAAAAATGATGCCCAGATTTTAATATTGGAGGAACTACAGTATCTGATCATGAATTTTTTTGACATGCATGGATGTCTTGAAAAATGCATTCTCTTTTTGAAGGATTTTGCAACTTAAAGAAAAGTTAGCCTTTTAAAAAAATACACTCACTTTTTTCAGTTAAATAATAATGCTAATTATTTAATCAAACGTTCACCTGATTGTTTTTTGTAATAATGCACTCAGCATTTAAAATGTATTTCCTCTTTCTGCACTGAGGGGTCAGTGTGTAATAATCTTCAGGGGTATTTTTATAATTGGCTGCTGAAAGCGTTTTCTTCATGCCGACAAACAGAACCATCCCTTTATTAATTAAGTAAACGAATTCATTAACGTGATGAAGCCACAGGAGAGTCAGGCCATACCCGCTTTTTGTCTGACCCCCCACATTTCCGAACAGAAGATGTTTCTTCCAGCCAGTTACAGTGTGTTGCTGTAGGACCCCTGAAACTGCTGAAAAAGAGCATCAGTCTTCTGTCGCTCTTACCTGAGCTCCACATGACCTGGGTTCTGCTGGGTTCTGGGTTCCGGGTCTCACAGCTGTAGGTTGTGCCCACTCAGAAGGACACCGTCTCCAGCGCACTATCTCTCTCTCTGAGTCTGCAGTCTCTGAACAGGGAACTGAAATTACTGCTCCGAATTCAAGTCTGCAAAGCCAGCAACTAAGCCATGGCTTTCCTGTATGCAAGGCACGTGGGTTTGAAGGGAAGAGGATGTGTCCCCGCCCTGAGCCACAAACACACCCTCTTTCTGTGGAAGCATGTGATTGGGTGCGTGGAAGAGGAGGCTGGGGGATGTGTAGCAGGGGTTTGAGGAGTATGGTGCAGATCTGTCTTGTATTCTCTTATGTACAGTAAGAGAAGTCTCTTGTCCCTTCTATCTGGACAAGGGTGCTTGGGTGTGTAGTGGGGGTGGCTGGGAACACATATTGCCCCCCGCTTCTTCTCAATAAAGGAAGCCCATGGAAAAGGCATGGACCAAGGTGCAAAATCTAAATAAAAGCGCGAGCACATATTTTTATGTAATTATCCCAGGGTAGAGGCAAGTAGAATTTAAAAACAAACTAAATAATCCTTTCTGGTTACAAAATGGCTTCATTACAACCCTGATTCTGAAAAGCGACATGCTATCTATTAATGCCTGATGTCTCAGTAAATTATGCAAAACTCTTCCTGTGACCTGCACTCTCCTGTGACATTATATAGTGCCATTACTAACACTCACTAACGTTCAGGGTGTGAGATGCGCTCTAAATAGGTAATTGGTTAATTGGAATTGTCCATTCATGCACCAATGCCAGCATATTCTCAGGTCCTTGTAGAGACATGCATGGCAATTTCACACACACACATGCACAGTGACGCACGCACTGAACTCTCAAACTCCAGCTGGGAAAGCTGACTCAAACCTTCACTTTGTGTCCTGTGTGAAGCAGCAGGAGCTGCAATAAAAATAACTGTTTACCTGATGACTCCAAGGCAGAAACCAAATGAGTTGATGTCAGTAATTTCTCCCTCAGATACATGTTGTAGACACACAGCTGGAAGATAGCCTCCTCCACAGCATGAAGCTGGTCAGCAGAGCTGTCAGAGACGTGACAAGAGGAAGTGGTCTGGATCCAGGGCAGTGTGTGAGCCCGGGCTGGCCACTCCTGTGGTCAGTACGCACCCATTCAAACACACTGCTCTCTCAGGGGCAGGCTGCGTTCACTTGTTCTGGTGCAGTTCTGAAAGGCTACAATAAAGATCTGCTGTTTACAAAAATAGTGGAAGACCACAGAGAAACAAGCCCTTTCTTCCACAAATATGCACTGGAAATCCACCAATTTTACACACGTTGTCCTTTGTGCTCGCTCGAAATGATGAAATGTTTCAGATGAGAGGTGATTGAAAACTTCCTATAAAGGTTGATGATGGTGATGATGATGATGATGATGATGACTGTTCGACATTTTATCATCGGACAACATTGCCGTTCAAAGTTCCTTAAATCCTTTATCTATGGGGACAAAATGTGATTCATTTTTACCACATTCACTAGTTTTCATTTTAAGTTCCGACTACTAAATGCAGTACAGAAACAATGAAAAGGAGAAGTTTTTCCTTTTACTTTTAAATGAATAAGCTTTTAGTAGAACAGTACCTTAATTTTATTTGAAGGCATTTTTTCTTTGGTCTGATAGGAGTTTCAGATCTGAATCATCTACTAGTGTTTAATTTTGTACTGCAGAACATTCAGGGTGAAAAGAAGTGTATAAACACTCCCTACGAACCCAGGCAGCCTTTACCTCTGTGATAAGGTAAGCTCCTGTCTTTTATCACCTTCTGTTTAAGACAGAGGACCTCACGAGATGCCTGCATGGTGGTGCAGTGGCTAGCATTACTGTCTCAGAGCACCGAAGTCCTGAATTCAACCCCAGCCTGGGGTGCTGTCTGTGTGGAGTTTGTATGTTCTGCTGTGTCTGTGCATCTGTTATGGACTGGTGTCCCGATGCTTGCTGGGATAGACTCCAGCTCCCCCCCAACCCTGCCCATAGAAGCACTGGGAAAAGGGATTGAAGGGTGGATTCACAGGAGGACAGAAGAGGGAGGAAAGAGTGCGGGAAGCAGACCAGGTCGAAGCGCAAGGCCAAACTGGAAAGGGAGAAAAGAAACTGGAAGGCCCAATCCTGAAGGACAGAAACAAGGCAAAGAGAGTGAGAATAAGGCCACACCACATGGCCAGCCTGAGCACGGCTAGCTCCTCCTGCCTCAGCACTGAAGGCTGCACCACGCTGGACCCATCTTCCTTCACCGTTCTCTAGCTTGATCCACAGTCAAGGCTAGGGCCCCTAAGGACGGGCCTCCTCCTGAACACACAGCCCTGATCTGCTCACACACACCGGTGGTGCTCAGGCCTGGTCCTCTGTGTTCCACCTGGCCCTAATCAGCAGTGCCAACTGCTGCCAGTAATCGAGCTGTTCGCTGGTTGAGGCTTTTTGTCTGCACTCAGCACTTATCTCACAGCACACTGGCTCTCAGTCCTGGTCCTGAGTCACCTCTGTGTCTTTTGGTTTTTGCTCCAGCCCAGTCACAGGCCAATTTCTTTCCATTTGCCATGTAAGACCTTAGTTTCACCTCTTAAACACCTGACCAGGATTTATAATTGGTATAAATGCTGTGCTAAAAGATGAATTTCAGGACTGCCCTCAGTCCAGTGTGCGAGCTGACATCTAAACAACTGGACTGGAGCAGAAGGAATATGCTGACCATAGTAGTCTGATACAGTGATCCCCACCTGCGTCTATTCACCATTGCTTGATTGCCTATTTAGAGCTGTTCAGTAAAATCTAAGAAAGACAATTCTTAATTAGCAGGTTGAGGAGAGACGGCAGGATATCCTGTGCACTGTAGTTTTTGGAAATAATGCATTTCAGCTTGGGTATTTTTGAAACCAAGACTTGAGTGCAAAAAAACACTCAACACCAGCTAGCAAATCACTTACAGTTAGCCCTGGTGATTAATGACCCAGCTGATCCAGGAATCCTCCAGACCCAGGACTGAGGACCACAGACATGTCCCACGGGCAGAGTTCCCCCACAGGGGTGAAGTGCTCAGGACCAGAGCTGAAGAAAGTCTACATACTGTAGAAACTAAACTTCTCTCCATATGGTATCAGCAGGTTAAGATTTCTCAATAACAATCACTTCCAAGGTTACACTGAGCCTTAGCGTCTCTCTGTGTTGGGAGCTGTACTCTGTTGCCTGCTAATAGCATTTAAGATCACTTTATTGGCCATATACAATTTCTTGTATTAGGAATGGGTCTTTTCACATACCCCAGCTTGCTCTCCATAAGACACACAGACAGGGAGAGAAGCTTGGGGTCAGAGTGCAGGGCCAGCCATTTTATACAGCGTCCCTAGAGCAGCTGGGGTGAACGGCCTTGCTCAGGAGCCCAACAGAGTAGGATTCCTCTGCCACCTGGATAGGAACCGGCAACCTTCCAGCCACAGATGCAGAGCCTGAGCCACAGAGCCACCGCACCGCAATTAAAACCAAACAACACTGAATGAGGCAGTGAATGCAGCAGTGAGGATGTATTGCATTGTAGAACATATAAAACAACATCGAAATGCATAGTTATTTCATCCTCTTCATTAAGCTTTATATGCACAAATGTAACAGAACACAAAATTGCACAAGGAACTATAACATAACCCATCTTTGATCTCAAGTATCTGTGCTCCAGATGCACTGGCAGTTACAGCGGTCCTGCCAGCATGGGGACGAGCCATGTGGGCGATCTCGTCTGCAGCGTGTTCAACTAGAGTGCTGAGAGCACTGAAGGGGCTGGGCCTTCTGTCGCCGCAGGGCTGTGGATCACTGGGAGGGCTTTTTGGAAGGAGGGCTCTCTGTCTCCGGTGCCGATGGGGTGGGCTGCCTCTGGGGCTTATTCGGGGGCTGTCTGGGACCGTCACGGCTGTAGAACTCGTTCAGGATCGACACCGGGATTCTCTTCAGCATCTCCTTCGGGAAGAGGCGCAGGAGCTCCCACCCAATGTCTAGAGACTCAAATACAGAGCGGTTCTCATAGGGACCTGCCGGGAGCAAAGCACCATTATTATTATAGCAACTCATATTCTTCATATTGTAACAGAACCCTGCCAGATCAGACTGTGTGGCTCCATGCCCATAGTGTAAATATGATCCTTCTGCTTCAGCATCTACATCAGACACTGTATGACGCGCACTCTTATTTATTTATGTCCGGTCCATTTTCTGCGAAGAGATTTATCTGAATTATCTGAATCTGTCATTCGAGCCCTGTCACCTACCCTGAGAGATGAACCGCCTCTCAAACTTGTGCAGGAACTCCAGGTAGAGCAGGTCCTCCTGGCTCAGAGCTTCTTCTCCCACCACGGCCTTCATCGCCTGCACGTCCTTCCCAATGGCATAGCAGGCGTACTGCAGGACACACCACACACATGGATTCACATCATGCCCGAACCGACAGCCAAGCTGAGCGTATGTCTTTTGGCATTGACTACAGGTGTGCACATGACTCTCGGAATTAAACATGTGCCAAAACGTCTACGGATAGGAGCCAAACATTGGCATCGCCTTGGCATCACAAAACCTCTGGACACAGCTGGACGGTCAGGTGGAAATCGGAAGCTGTAGCAGGGCAGTCCCGGCTCGTGTCAGTGTGTGGCGCCGTGGCGCTGGGTTTGTGGGTGTGGAGTCACGACCTCACCAGCTGGTTGGAGACATCAGCATGATCATTCCTGGTCATTCCCTCCCCAATGGCCGACTTCATGAGGCGGGACAGCGAGGGCAGCACGTTGATGGGCGGATAGATCTGCAGAGCGACACGCAGAGCTGGTCAGTAATGACCTTCTGCCCTGTATGGCCCAGCATGGCCAAGCCCATATCTATAGTATCATTATAGTCTATTTCTGTAGCACACAGTGCAAACATGACACAACCATAGCAGAGCAGAACATCAGCACATTCGAGAGACCACAGAGAGGGAGCCATTCGCTCCATCCTGCTCATTCGGATCTGTTTCTCTTTAGTCCCACAAACCAGCCCACAGGAAAGGCACAACGCAGAGCAGCCAATCACACTGATCTTACACATCTTTGGAGGTGTGTGGAAACCAGAACACCCAGTGAAAACCCCCACGAAAACAGGGAGCCTGTAACCTGGACCCTGTAACGCACTGGTGCTAAACACCACTCTTCTGATGAACAGCTAGTAAAACCAAGGTGAGCTCATGTTAAATGTAGAAGGAACTGTGGTGTGAGAGTTTCCCGTGGTAGACACAGATGAGACAGAGAGAGCAGTCTTCAGACTGCAGCCTTTCTCCTCTTCACCGACCTGTCTGTTGTGCAGCTGTCTGTCGATGTACACCTGCCCCTCTGTGATGAACCCTGTCAGGTCAGGGATGGGGTGTGTGATATCTTTGAGAAAAAAGAAGAGGAATCAAAGTCAGAATGCACATTTCCATTCCACAGGAAAGAAGAACTCAAATATGACACATAGACTTGCAGCTGGGAAGCCCATCCATAACACCTGCTTTGGTTGGGTTTACTGAAGGCATGGTGATATTCGGCCACAGTGCCTCTGGGGTTTGTGCCAGGCGATGTCAGAATTACTAGACCGCGTCAATTATGTTGAAGGTATTGACTTTCCCTGTTAAAATAGACCCATTGACCTACTGCAGGGCTGTAGCTCTTGAAGACCAGAACCAGCCGGCCCTGGGTTACAGAGTGGGTTGGATCTGATGGACAAGGGAGTCAAAGGGCTGAGTTCGTTTATAGTCTGGGCACACCTCTTGTCACAGTCTCGCACACCCTACCCACAAGACACAGACTGTAGGACTGGTCCAGGAAGAGGAGAATGACTGGTTAGTGAAAGCAGTAAAAGGAAGAGACAGACAGCTGAGCGGACAGGGCATGTGCAGCAGAAGCAGACCTGGAGAAGAAATTCCAAAGAGACAGAGAGAGACATTCAGACAGAATTCAAACAAGGCAGACGAAAAACTAAATGGGCATTAAACTGAAATATCCAAATTCCACAGTATTCAGAAAAAATTCTGAACAATTTAATTGTTCTTCAAATACCAAAAGATGAAAGAGAAGAAAGGGAGAATTAACACCACAGGTGCATTCTTCATTTTACATTAACAAATACAGAAGCTTGTTCCTACCCTGAAAATAATAATAATAATAATAATAATAATAATAATAATAATAATAAACTTTATTTTATATAGTGCCTTTAAAAGTGGCTTCTCAAAGCGCTTTACAGGATGACAATAACAATAAATAAGAGGAGTATAAAAATAAATAAGGAGAATACACAAGATAAGACACAATTACAATATGCAGAGGAGACTGTGGATGGTGGTACTAAGAAGAGCAGAGGGGTGAAGAATGGAACAGTTAAGTAAAGGCTTTTCTGAAGAAGATGGTTTTGAGTCTGGATTTGAAGGAGAAGGCCCTGTCACCCATACAATGTAGACGGGCTTGGGGGACAGTAAGGAGGGCAGAATTTGAAGAGTGGAGGTTGCGAGGTGGGGAGTAGGGCGATAATAGTTCAGACAGGTACTGAGGTGCCAAGCCACGCAGAGCCTTATAGGTGAGCATGAGGATTTTAAAGTCTACACGGAATTTGACCGGAAACCAGTGCAAGGACTCCAGGACAGGAGTAATGTGAACACTTGCACTAGACCTGGTCAGGATTCTGGCTGCTTAATTCTGGACATATTGCAGTTTGTTCAGAGTAGATTTTGATACCCCTGCGAGTAGAGCATTACAGTAGTCAATTCGAGAGAACACAAATGTGTTGATCAGCTTTTCAGCCACAGTTAATGATAGCATAGGTCGTAGTCTTGCGATATTTCTAAGGTGAAAAAAAGATGTTTTGACAGTATGCTGCACATGTGGGTCGAATGTTAAGCCAAAAGATGAAAGAGCTGAAGCTTTCTACTAATGAGCAGAGAAGACCATGAGAGAATCTAATCCAAGTATTCAAAATCTTCAAGGTCACTGACATAGTGAACATCTTCAGAATGTACAGTTAAATGTGAGCTTAGGTAGCTACTGTAGGTAGAAATGCATGTAAAGCCAAGTACAAGAGGAACTACTTTACACAGAGGGTTGTGGGAGTGTGGAACTAACTACCCAGTCATGTGGTTGAAGGTGATACCCTGCCTTCTTTCCAGAAACAGCTGGAAGAGATCCTTGGATCAATTTACTACTGGCTGCCAAATGAGTTTGATGGGCTGAGTGGCTCCTCTTGTCCTTATGCTGCTGTGCACATGCAGGGAGAGGCAGAAGGATTAAGAGGGAGACACACAGAGAGGGACGGACCATCGTTGGGCATGGTGAGGATGGGGATCTGTGTGATGGAGCCCTGCCTGCCGTCCACTCGCCCTGCTCTCTCGTAGATGGTGGCCAGGTCCGTGTACATGTAACCAGGGAAACCCCGTCTTCCTGGTACCTCCTCCCGGGCTGCTGACACCTGGAGACACAGAGCACAGACAGAGGTCCATCCTGAAGACAGAGCAGAGGGACACGCAGGACAGACAGTGTATCGAGTCACTGTGCGAGTGTTTGTCCTTCTTATCCACCTGTCAGCATGTGAGTGTGTAGCTACTGTGTCAATGTCTTGCTGTGTCTGTGTGTCGTCACTGTGTCAGTGTGTCATCACTGTGTCACTGTGTCACTGTGTCAGTGTGTCAGTATGTCGTCA